ACTTAGAGCACTTTACGACGCTTCCCAGCTCCACTTGGCATCCTCGGCGTAGCGCTTTCCGGCTGGGACGTCACTACAGCGCGACGGCGGGGTTCAGCCAATAGGAAACCAGTCTGGCTGTGGCGCACGCGCATTCACACACGCCTGCCGCCCTTGACCCCCGTGGACACGCCCCGTGACCCCAAGACCCAGCAGGTGGAAGCGCGTTCTCTGCCCAGCAGTGAACCTGGAGACCTTGAGTCTAAGAATCAGGAAAACATCTGTTTATTTAAAAGAAAGGGGGGGGAAAAAAAGAAAGAAAAGAAAAAGAGACCTCAAGGTGGAGGTCCTCCTGCTAGGTCCTTACCAGGGAATTGGGGAAAAGGGTCCAGTTTTGAGGACAGGGTTTGGAGAGGGGGCATCTGGAAGGAGGCAGAAGCTGGGGAGGGTCTCCTGGTCCAAGGTCGCTTTTCTCCTTCTCTGCATCGCCCCCTCCGCCCCTGTCAAAGCAGCTGAGCGGGGTGATGTGTGTGTGTGTGTGTGTGTGTGTGTGTGTATGTGTGTGTGTGTGTGTGTGTGTGTGTGTGTGTGTGTGTTTTGTGGGGCCAGGGAAGGCTCACAAAGCATCATCCCAGCTTCAGAAGCATCGAGGGGAGCTCGCAGGACCTATCCCACTCCCTCGTCCACTATGGCTTATTTGAGACAAGAGGTCAAGGCCCCAGTGTCAGGCAGCCTGTGGCAGAGCTTATGGGGTCTAGAGACCCAGAACTCAGGCCAGGAAAGCGCAAGTCGAGGGGAGCGCCTCCGACTTGTCCCGAAACCCTTGCTGTGGAATCGACTCCCACCTCCTGGCCTTTCTACAGGACAGAGGGCAACTGCCCTACCCCGCAGGGGGCTGTAAATCTTTACGGAAGCAGACTCTTATCTATTTCCCACAGAGCCCCTGGTGGGTCCGAACCGCTGACCTTTTGGTTAGCAGCTGAGCACTTACTGTGCCACCAGGGCTCCACTGAAAGGCCCAATGCCCCCAGATCCTGGGGGCTGAAGAAAGCTGAATGAGCAGAGGGGAGGAGGGCCGGGGATGGGCTCAAGCAGGGTCTTCTTTGGGGAAAATCAAAGTCCGCCTGAGCAGGGCTTGGGAGGCCCCAGAAGATACCAGGGTACTCCCATCGGAGCAGCAATAAGCGTGGGGTTGAAAAACTGACATTAGAGCCCAGGGAGATTGGGGAGTAACCCTCCCCCCAGTTCCCTCAGTGTGGAGGGAAGCAAGGGCTAAGTTATCTGCCCCAGTCTTTTGGTCAGAGGCGATGAGCTGAGTATTTGGGGAGAGATAGAAGAGGCCCCCCCACCGCGCCCTGGGGGCTGGGGGAGGGGCCCCGTGTAGCCCTTTAACAGTGAGGGGAATGGCCGTCCCCCCACAACATGGCTATGTACAGAGAGGCTTGGGGGCCAATTGTGCATTGGGAACTGGGGAATTCCCCAAACCCCTGGAGGCTCCCCAGTGTGTTCGGGAAAGAAGAAGAAGGGAGCATTTCTCCACCATCCCTGGACAGTGCAGAGACCTCCCTGTAGATGGCTCTGGCAGTGACCATCCCTCTTGGGGTGCGGCTGCCCCAGAACCAGGCCATCAGACATCAGTGAAGGCCACAAGGAGGTCACTATTTCACAGCCCATTCTACCTGGGTCAGGATCTCTGAGAGTTTGGCCCCAGCCGATGGGCCCAGGTGGCAGGAACTGGGCAGGAAGGGCAGTGATGCCATCGTGGGGATGGACAGCCCCACCTCTGGTGGTGAGAAGAGGTCACTGCATCGACCCTGTCACCGATCAGATGGTTGGGTGAAGGGCAGTGATGTTACTGACAAGGGCTTGGATGCTCCCCACCAAGGGGCTTGAGGGGAGTTGACCAAAGCCAAGTCCAGGGTGGGGTTGATCCAGATAATCTATGTCTGGTGTGAGGCAGTGACATCATCAAGAAGGGCCAGAGTAAGGATGATCTCATCAGAGGAGCATCCACTTCCATACTACTCCACTCAGGAGGAGCTGGAAGAGATGGCATGTTGTGCTGGTTCCCCTGAAGGGAACAACTTTAAGTATTGTGTGACCCCAGAAGACAATGGAAACAAAGCTGTTGCAGTGCTTCGCTGCCAGAAATGTTGGATCCTGGAGGATGATAATCCAAGGTTGTAATGAATCCTGGGACATGATGATGCTCTCATGACACCTTGTTGAAGTGGATCCTGGAAGATATTGACTCATGGACATCCATGGACCTTGGGAGATGACAACACCATGATGCAAATGAATCTTGGAATATGATGGCTTCATTGGTTCCCATGGATCCTGGGGTGGGGTGACACCATGATTGAAGTGAATCCTGGAAGACAATGATCTGTGACTCTCAAGGCTCCTGACAGATTAATGACACCATTGATTCTCATGGATCTTGGTGGAGGTTAAATTGATGGTTGAAGTGGATCCTGGAATATGGTGGCAGATGATTACATCATAGGCTTTCATGGATCCTAGGATGTGATGACACCATGGCTGACCATGGCTGAAGTGGATATCAGACAATGGTGACATCATTGGCTTTTCCTGGATCTTGGGATGTGATGACACCATCGCTGAAGTGGATCTTGCCAAATAATGACCCTTTGACTCTCATGGATTCTGAAATATGATAGACAATGGTTGTACTGGATCCTGAGACATAGTGATCCCTTTATCTCATGGATCCTGAGAGAGAGACATCATGGTTGAAATAGGTGTTAGGACGTGATCACACCATATCTGAAGTAGATCCCAGGAGATCGTGACACCATTGGTTCTCATGGATCCTGAGAGATGATGAGACTATCGAAGTGGATCCTGGAACATGATGTTGACGTGGATCTTGGAAGAGGATAACATCACTGGTGCTCATGGGTCCTCAGAGATGATACACCACTGGCTCTAATGGTTCCTGGGAAATGACTAAACATGGCTGAACTGGATTCCTGGCAGATAATGACACATTGACTCTCACCGATCCTGGGCGATGACGACGACACCAGGGTTGAAGTGGATGTTAGGAGGTGACGGCGTTATTGATGCTCATGGATCTTGGTTGATGGATGACACCATGGTTGTAGTAGTGGATGTTAAGACGTGATGGCATTATTGACACTGATGGGTCCTGGGTGATGACACCACGGTTGAAGTGGATTCTAAGAGATGACCTTGTTGACGTTCATGGATCCTGGGTGGTGACACCACGGTTGAAGTGGGTGTTAAGACGTGATGACATCACTGACATGCATGGATCCTGGGTGATGTCACCATAGTTGAAGTTGATGTTAAGAGATGACAGTGTTGACATTCATGGATTCTGGGTGTGATGACACGAGGGTTCTGTGGATTCTGCAAGATGAAGACACTACAGATAGGCAGGTTGTGTGAAATGATGACATAGAAGTCTTAGTGTATTCTCATTGAAAGTGTCACCATCCACGTTGTCAGCGTGGATTATGGAGGCTAGTGACATCACAATGGAGCCAAAGCTGATGGTGGACTGTGGGAGATGCTGTCGCTGTTAGTCCTAGAGGATCTGGGGAGATAACACACAGCTGGAGGCATCATGGAAGATGGTAACACCGTTGGTGGTGAGGACGCCTGGATGATGATGACGACAGTAGTCACAGTATATCCTACAGGAGGATGATACCATAGTTGTGGGGACTCCCAGGAGGTGAAGATGTCATTGGTCAGAGAGATGCATGGGAAAATGATGTCATCCGTAGCCATGGTTAGCATCTGACCCTAGTATCATCAAGAGTAGTGAAAGTCTTATGATGCTAATTGTGCCATCAGCAAGATCAGTATCAGAAACCCCTTTAAACCCCCCAGCAGGAGTTTGTTGGTAGAGGTGATGGTGTCTCTAGATATGAAGGATGTAAGTGAAGCCAGCCTTTGGGTCATCCATCAACCCCAATGGTAGGACTCCAGGAGCCTGGGGGGCCAGGGTGCCCTCCTTGGCAGGGTCAGCCCATCTGGGAATGGGTCCTTTGGAATCACAGTAGGAGAGGGCATTACTGCACAAGGGTGGCAGGCCCAACCCCTCTTTAGAGGGACAAGTTGCCTCCACAGGGTTCAGAGGAGATCCTGAAAAATATATTCCTGGGCTCAGGGAAAGGGAGGACCAGGTTCAGTCAGGAGGAAACAAGGCAAGAATCTGGTGACACCATCGGTCATGATGACCTTCTAGAATGGACGCTGTCTTTGGGGAAGAAGTTCTGAGGATGACATTGGGGCAGAGCCTCAGAGAGAGGGGCTTCACCACGAGGAATAAACTAGACTGACCACGATCTCTGATAGGATTGTCGAAAAGGCACAGCCTTCCCCGGGCATGACATCCCTCAGGTAACCTCTCAGAGCAGAGAATGTCTTCAGTGATATTCCAAGGTAGTCGCAGACGCTGGATGCGCCTACACATCTCATGACATCACAGCAGCGGGAGTGGTGTCTTCGGACATCATTTCAGAATGGGTGTCACCTGGTGGGGACACTGCGGAAGAGTCCTTCTCCTGGAGATGTGCTTGAAGCAGGCTGTCGTCTCTGGCGATGACACCCCAAGTAGCAGCAGAGCCCCTGGGTGACATCAGAGGTCAAGGCACCTTCTCTGATGGTGGCATTGCAGGAAGGAGGCAGAGCCATGGTGACGGTGTCAGGAACGAGGCTCTCCTGTCTCCAATCATTCTCCCCTGCGACGGGTCACCAGAAGATGGCTTTGTCTGTAGAGATGATGTCCCAGGATAGAGGCATTCTCTCCGTCCTGAAGACACCTTTCAGTCTCCAGGAAAATGAAGAAAACATTATTTTTTTTTTCCCTGCGATTAAAACGATAATGCAAAAATAGAAAACAGCTATTCCTTGCGATGATGTCAACGACGCAGTCCACAGGCCTCGTGGCTAGAGATGATCTCATAAGGGTGAGGCTTGTCTCTCCAGTGATGTCACAGGGAGAGGTGTCTCTGGCCATGACGTCACAGGGGGTAGGGAGCCGCCTGTCTGGTGAGCTGCCGTGACATCAGAGGCAGGGACTTGGCGGTGACGTCACGTGGCACAGCAATGATGATGATGATGATGATGATGATGAATGATCTCGCAGGCCCCTCGCTCTGCGCTGACGTCACGAGGAGGCCGGGTCTCCCGCCATGACGCACTAAGGAGGTCGGCCCTCCTCTCCCCGTGACTTCCAGAAGAAGGAGGGAGCGGGAGGGGGATCCCTTGGTGATCCCGATTGGCAGTCCCATCAGAGCAGTGTCCCCCTCCCCGGGGGAGGGGAGGCCGGGGCGGAGGGGTCCCGCCCGCCCCGGCCGGCTCACACGGTCACCTCGTTCTTGCTGGCCGTGCGCAGGTGCTGGGGCAGGTGGTGGCCGGGGATGAACTGCAGCT